CCCAACCCCCCCCCCCCCCCCCCCCCCCCCCCCGACTTCTGCATTCTAGGTAACCCACAGCGGGTTCCTGTCGAGCCTCTTCAAGAGGGTCGTGTTGTCGCCACGGGACACAGCCAGAGGCTTCAAGAATTGTGAGCTTCGGAGCGTACTACTGGACCTTTGAAAACGTTTCGATCGATGTTGTCAAGTGATCGATGTGGTTCGAGCTTTCCTAAGGAGCGGGTCAACGGGGGTGAGGGCGGCGACGACCCATGGTCCGTCGCGGGCTCAGATGCCCAAGAGGGAAACTGGGGTCACCTTCTGCTGTAAGATAGGCGACGAGACCGAGGGACAGGAGAGCGGGGACCTGGCATGCCCGTCGTTAGCCGGCGCGCGCTCTCTCTCGGAATGTGGTGTGCACTGCCCTGTGATATCCATTTTGCAACGAATGTTGCTGTAGAGCATGTGAACATAAGTACTACGGGAAGAGTGGTGTGTGTATAATCTAGGACCTTTCGCAATAGCTTTTTTCTTGGTTGCTGTTGTTCTGGCAGTTTTTTTTTTTTCTTGTCTCCCATCATTGGACTCTGTTGTCTGCCCCTCTGGCCCCTATCCTCCACTTCTACCAGCTAGACAACCCAACCGGGGTCACATATGAGGGGGGGGGTGGACCCCCTCCTGCGGTTCCTGTCTGAGATATTTTTATCGCGAGAAGGGTACAGCAATCCCTTCCCTCGCGACTTATGAAGTCGATCAAGTTTACTAACAACGAGCTTTGCAGCGCGTCGCTTCCAACGGAGACCAGGATTTAATTAGCGAGAAAAAACTCACTCTGTCGGGACTCGAACCCATGACCTGGTCCTTAGCAGACTGCGAGGCTACCCACTAGATAGACCACCGGGGCGACCGGTTATGTACCTGCACGTCTCGATCTTCAAGTTCGGGGTCTCGACCGCCCCTCCGCTTGGATTTGCAGCCATTCGGCCGCCTGCATCATGACAGTCTCGTCCGGGAAGGCTTGTACGCCATTACCGTGCGCAAACCGCCGTTCTTGATGGCCGGCGGGGGAAACGCTGAAGGCTACATAGTGGCGAGGCAACAGGGCGAGAGTGTAATTTTCCCCTCGTTTGCCCCAACCAATGTGGTTGTTATCTCACGCTGTCACTATCGCTATCGATACTTCTTGCTGCTGCGAATGGTGCGGTGGCCGCTTCGTCGTCTTGACCAACATGGGTGGCCAGTGGGTCTCGTTGTAGTAAGGCTTGGTGCTTGATGGACAGCCCCAACAATGCCAAGGGGACTGCGAAAAGCCGTGCAACCTCGTTTGTGTCTGCATTGTTGTGTATTCAACCTCTTTCCAACCTTGACGCCACCAAAGACGATATCAATTTCTGGAAACTACACACAGAAAATTACCGTTCGAGACAATACCACAGTCGAAGGGGGGGTGTTCAAGTCTTTTAAGTGGGTGGAGGGAAACAGAAACCGGCTGGAAATTGAGCTTCTGTAGGTCGTTGTCCCGAGCAGCTCACACAAAAAAGCTCTCGGTACCTAGCTAGACTACCGCGCGAACATTGGCCGCAAAATGAACTACCGGACGCGGTGTGTTGACAAGAACTCTTCGCTTGCCGTCTAACGAGTGTACCAATCTGGGCCTCAGTACGGCACATAGTGAGGGTAACCCTTGCATTTGAGCTCGCAAGACCTGATACCTGCGGATACGTGGTACAGAGCTGCCGGTGGGACGGTGCTTCCACGGATGGATGGATGCGGCGCAACCTCTTGATACTTTTTTTTTTTTCTAAGATCGGAGTTGTCCCGGGCACCAAGCATATGTGTGCACCACGCCACTGTTCCGTCTTCGTACGCAACAAACAAGGATGGCGACCTTTGAGACGAAGGCCGAAACGAAAACCTCCGATGGACACAAGGTCGTCGGCGTAGTGCAGCGCTCCAAGGCGAAGACGGTACACTTCATCCGCCACGCTGAAGGTCAGGACTGCAGGATTTGACCACAGCCTTGTTTGGCTTGTCACCCGTCCAGCCGGAAAGTCTATTTTCAAGTGTGTACGTGTGTACGTGTACAACAAGGTCAGCACCTGCACCTCCCATCAGACCATGGTCTGAGTCGAACTGCAGCCGCACAGCAAGTTCAAAGGGTGGAATAACGAGCCCGCGAAAGGAAAGAGGATAGATAGATACCTCACGATGGGGACATGCATGGGTATCAAAGAAATCAGGAAAGGATGCGCTTCATGTAATGTTTCCCGACACGCATCCTCGCGCTACACAGAATGGCTACAAGGCGTAGTCTCCGGTACTCCTGTAGACATCGTAGTATCTTCAACAGCAGCAGTAGAATAGTATTAGTCGCAAGGATCATTGTTGAAAATAGCTGTACTTACTTGTAGCATACACCCTCATCCACTCTATCCACTCTACGGCCTCAAGTAGTTAATGCTCTTGCTTGTACCGCGTTGACAATAGTCAATTGCTGCTGCCGTCTCCCACACACAACACAAACCGAACTAAACACACCCCAACTTTTTCACTTGCAGCAAGTCTCCAGCCAGCCGTATATTTTTGCAAGCAGCGTATTTTCTTTTGTGCTCGCACAAGCGCATCTATGTCCATCCAACGCACACCTGTTGTTTTCGTGTTGTTCGACAGGAACGCACAACGAGGCAGCGCTCAAGGAGGGCCGAGCAGCCTATGCTAAGATTGTGAGTGGGGTAATATGCACAGAGAGGGCTTTCTGATCTCTCAAGTAGGTGGTGTTGGCACACACACAGTTGGACCCTTGGACCTTGGACTACGAACGAAACATAAGTGTGGACGGGTTTATCTACAGAGACCCAGAACACCTGCGTAGGATTCCGAGCTCAGCTCACACAAGCGGAGGTGTGCAAACGATGATTGATGGCAGCATGTAGTGGTGTCTAGTGCGTTCCAACTTGCTCAGTGTTGCCTGGGAGTCAGCGATAGCGCGCGACTGATAGATATACTGCTGTTGAGATACACCGGCCTGCTTGTATTAACAGATGAACAGGGAAACAATTACCGTATTCTACACAAGATACCACACCCTCATAAGATACCACACCCCCCCCACAATACCACACTCCGGTGGTAATTTGGGTGTATTTTTCAGACCATGATTTATCACCGGGGGTACACAAGATACCACACCCCGGTGATAACACAGGTTACGCCGCATACATTCCCTGTCTCTATCACCGGGGGTGAAACAGCATCACACACGCACAGCTTGTACCGTACGGGGGGAGACATGGAGACCTCAGAGAACATGAACGTGCGGGAAGAGCAGAATGCCGCCGCAAGTACATCTGCTTCTCCCACGACTGCTTCGACCGCAGCAGCACAGGCGCCACAGATCACCTCGTTCTTTCAACCCGAGCAGACTTCTACGCAAGCGGCACACCCCCTGTTTATCACACACCCGAACACATTCTTTGGGTGTTCCGACGTGTTATCACACCCCATTTTATCACGCCCCCTTTTTTATCCCACTCCCAAACCCTCCCTGTGGGTGGTCGCATGTGCTACCACACCCCCTGGTTTATCACACCCCCTGAGGAGCTCCTGCGAGCTAGGCTTTATCACCGGGGTACACAAGATACCACACCCCCCCCACAATACCACACCCGGTGATAATATTTTTGAAGCCCAAAATGTTATCACCGGGGTGTGGTATCTTGTGTAGAATACGGTATAGCAGACTTTTGTGATCTCCAGTTGTTATAACTCGCATAGCGCGCAGAGGGAGTGGAGGACTCCAGAATATCTGTCGTTGATTTCTATTGACTTGTGGACCCCTTGGGGCCAGTTTATTTATTTGAGTGTACCTTTTTAGCGTAAGTTAGCCTGCGACCACGGGAATCAACCGCGTCGAGTCTTGGATCAGTACGGACATACGAAGGTACTGGGTAGAGAGAGATCGGGACGGTTTNAGCCTGCGACCACGGGAATCAACCGCGTCGAGTCTTGGATCAGTACGGACATACGAAGGTACTGGGTAGAGAGAGATCGGGACGGTTTTTAATGTGAAGGCAACAATATATATAAACATTCCGTGTTCATACAAGTAGCGGACCATTGGGTTGTTTGTAGTAGCAGCATAACGGCCGTGCATGACTTCCCTCTCTGCCTGGGGGTTAGCAATAGCGAGCGACCGAGAGAGACAGGAAGGGCAAAAAACAAGGGAATCGGACTGCAACTGAGCCGCGAACTGCACACAGCAGAACCGAATAGGTGGCTCCCAGTTACTTACAGTTATTACGTGACGGTCAATAAAACCATAAATAAATATGCGGCGGAATTTTGAACTTCGTCACATCCTCCATCAAGATTCCCTCATACAGACGTACCTGCACCGACGCTCTTGCTTTTTTTGCCAAAGCGGCCGCGGACGGATTCAGTTTATTAGCAAAGCTTTTTTGTTGGATTTTTGTAGGGCATGTGGCGTCGTTTGTAGGACAGGGGGATCGGGATCGATTCTAGCTCCATCCTCGCACTCTCCAAGCGAGTGCTCAGGAGACCTGGCCTTTAAAGCCAGACAAGAGTATGGAATGGCTACTGCTGCGAGTGCCTCAAAAAGCAAGCTGCGTCATGCCCTTGTAATCTGCTGTGTGTTCTCCACAGTATCATTGTTGTGGCATCGTCTGGCGTGTGTGGGCTCTTTGTCCTGCACGACAGAGCGGCTTGGCGACAACACAGCCGTGTTGTGTCGAGTGCATCCGTCTGAGGCTTCAGGATAGAAGAAAATAGATGGTGAGGATTGTGTAGTCTGGTTTACAGCAAGCCGTGTGCCCAAGAACAACAGCAGCACTTATTTTTGCGCATCTTCACCGTTGTCAGTGTTGTTCGCATGTGCCAAAACAAGGTGTTGCCACACTTCGCCAGACTCCTTCGTTTTACACCAATATTGCAACAGATTACTCACGTTAGGACACCCCAATTCTCTGCTCGCTGTGAAGCATCCATCTCGCCGGCGCAACATACACCGATCCTTGCGTGCTGCCACAGACGACTAAATAAGCAACTAAGGACATACGATACGACAGACCCAATGCGGATAGAGTAGAAATGTATATACCAGTATTAGTATTCCTCTGGTTAGAGGCAAGGTTCGCTCGGAAACGTGGTCATCGTCCCCCAAGCCGCGACACCCGCGTACGACTTTCTTCGAACGCCCCTCCCTGCCCGTCATGCTCCGTCTTCTCGAGGGCCCATGGTCAACGGCATGAGAACTTAGGCATGCAAGACATTGGGGTACGCCCGCCCCTCCCGCGGGGCCGGCGAAAACCCGGCATATCGGCATTGTAGGGATGCATGCTCCGACGACTACGGCATGCGTTTACGTGAGTACACCCCGCCCTTCTTCCTTTTCGTCGATACCACCGTGATTGCACACGCGTGCGTGCGCAGGAGCACCTCGACGCCAGGCTTACCGATCTCGGCAAGCAGCAGTGCGCGACGTTGAAGGCGACGAAGCACGGCGTCGAAAAGGAGGCGCAGCTGGTCGTCGTTTCTCCGCTTACCAGAGCGATACAGACCGCCATGTTGACCATTGATCAGGTATGATTCCCAACCTTGAGGGGGTACTCACGTTTGGCATGCCTTAGCGGTTAAGCCATAACCACGCGTCCTCGAGAGGACTGGGGGGGG